CCCCCACAGCAGCCGAGTGTCAGCCACATCCACTCCGCAGGGACTCCCATCCATTCCTCCTTGTTTCATTGGTCCTCAGTCCCATTCACGTCACACATCCGTCCTTCAACAAATCCTCTGTACCCCAGGGCCACCGCCCCACTTTTCCAGTGTTCTCAGGGCTCCTGGGGATGTGCTCCATGGCAGCAGGTCTATTGATGAGGCAGCCATGGGGAGTCACCCACATGCGAGGCGCGACTGGGAAGAGCGCTCACACCCGTCAGGCCTGCGTGGGAGGCTGCTTCTAAGGTGGGGTTTGAAGACTGGCGTTCCAGCGCCAGCTCTTCCCTCTGTCTCCATTCAGCGGTTCTCAATCTGGGGTTCGCGACCCCCTTGGGGGGTCGAACGACCTCTTCACAGGGGTCACCCGATGCATAACAGTAGCAAAATTACAGTGATGAAGTAGCAACGAAATAACTTTATGGTTGGGGGGTCACCACAGGAAGAACTGTAGAAAGGGATGTGGCATTGGGAAGGTGGAGAACCACTGGTGGAAAAGGTCCTTAGCTAAGTCTCTGCAGACTAGCCCCCGGAGTCGTTCTCCAACCACTGGCACGCCTGATCCACATGGCCCCCTGTTCCCCTAGCACAGCTCAGCTGATGGCTGGGCTGCTCACCCAGCTGCAAAAGCCAGAGTACTTTTACACAATCTCCCCACACCCCCATGATTGGTGAAGCACCTGTCATATCCATACAGGGCGATGTTGGCCCATGGAGGGTTAGGGAGAAGGGGAAGGGGGCCCCAGTTGGAGTTACAGGCCTGCTAGGAGCCCCAGCCCCACCACGGAGGTGCCTCTAGCCTTTGTGCAATCTGCTTGTGAGAGCCCTGGTGAAGCTGAACCTGCTAGCCACTCTGCAGGAGAAAGATGAGGCTACCTGTCTGCACCTGCAAGGATTCAGGCTACAGGGTCGCTAAGAGTCAGCATAAGCTCGGTGGCTGGGTTTGATGTTTGTGGGGTTTCTTGGCAGGGGCAGGCACCTAACTGCTTCCCTTGACTCACCCAACAGCGTGGCGGCCCTGAGTCAGATGCTGTTTTACTGATGAAGGCAGACAGTGAGGAGCTAGGTCACTTGGTGCACGAGAGCCAGGCCTCAGTCCCAGGTCTGAACAAGTCAGGCCCACCCGTTTGGCTCTGCTGCCTGCCCCCTGCTGGGAAGCAGCCCCACCCAGCTCTCCAGATGATACAACCTTTGTTCCCTGGCCACCTGGCAGGATCACTAACCTGCTCCTTCCATGCTGGGCAAGCTGAACTCAAACCCCCCCCCCCCCAGACAATGGCAACTGCCCAATGGCTGGCATTCCTCAGCGGTGCCAGGCTGAGGTTAGCTGTGCCTGCCCCTCTCTCCCAGGCTGCTTGCTGCCCAGCACTGTCCCTGGACCTAGCCCAAGACACTGGGAACTGGGCCCAGGTGTGGCCTTGCTCACACTGGATCTGTGTGTCCTTGGCAGTCTCCCAGGGAGGTCCCACACCACATACCACACTTTGACCTGGCTTCTTCAGGATGGACAAAGGCAACTAGAGTAAGCCCTAGGTGTCTGATCTTGGATTCAAGGCACATTAACCTTGAACCCCACTGTCATACCTAAGGGCAAATGGTGGCTACTGCGTGCCAGTGGGTGTTGGTCTCGGCCAGAGTGGGCTGTGAAATC